TCATGTTACTATATTTTCCTCCGTTTCTGTTTCCGGTTCTTTTGCTTCATGTGCCCAAAATAGTATTAAGGGTTTTGTTTTTTTCATGTGCAGGTTGTGGTTGTACAAGCTTATCTTCCTCTTGGATGTACTGCTGCAAGAGCAGTGGTTTTAATGTAACAAAATTGGAGGCAAGTTGTGTGGTGTGTGCAGAACATGACAGTTTTGCCGCGTGAAGCCTGCCATTGTGGCTTTTGCGAATAACAATTATGGATTTTATGTGGTATGTGGATAACAACTTTGATATGGAACCAGTTTCTTTTTGCCTTGTTCATCACCGCAGGTACGTGCTAATGTTCACTAGAAACAAAACCTACTCTTCCTTCTTCATCGAATGATTTCATTATGTTGTAGATTGGTCAAGGCGTAATTGTTTTCTTTGGTTTTGTGGAAGCTCATCACAATTTGTTGTGCGACGTGCCGCGAGACGTGGTTTCTTCGGGAGCTGCAACCTTTGGAAGTGCATATGGGTTGTGGTTTCTTTCGTGTTGAAGAAGTGGGAGCAAGGTTCTGTTGCTGCCAAAATTAGGTGCTGGTACATATAGGATGCGTTGTGGTATGTACGGCATGTCCTGGCCTCGTGGTATTTGTCGTTTTTTTTTGCTGCGTGAAAAAAAATCCTTCTGCTGCTGCTGTATTGAGGTTTATGGGCTTGTGTGCGTTTTGAATTAATGATTCATTTTAATCCAATGCTGTCATTTTCAGGTTGTGGTGTGGTCATTAGTGAATATGCTGCTTTTGATGGGCATGATTATAAGGATTATCAAGCTGCCGTTTGGATATACCTTACCATATAGCAGGAACTTCACTTATTCACCCGGTGGTCCTAATCGTATATGCACGGTTATTCTTTCGTCTGATGCGAAAATTTAATACTAGCAGAACTCCCTACCTGCACTGGCAAGAACTTAACCGACTGGTGGGGATAATGAGAAAGCTAGGCCCAAAAGTCAATCTTTGGAAAACTTGGAAACAAACTCAAGGCCTTAGCAGGAAAACAATACACCAAATTCCTCTAAATGTGTATCTCATATATTAGGAATTTATGATTAGAGTTCAATTTGGGATCATGGTTGTAATAATTTTTTACTTGTATTAATGTTGTCTGAATTGCACGTCACAGTAACCTTTTAGTTTTGTAAAATGGCCATTGAGTCCAACTATGTGTTATTCTAACCGTGACTTATATTGGCTTATCAATTGTGAGTATCTTCCATGATTTGGCCACAAAACATTTACTCACCAGCTCCATTATCTTTAAATTCTTAAAATACATGCATTCCAAACCCCTTAGATCACGTGCCATCTTGCTTTGATGATAAAGTTGAATGATCATCTTAAGATGTGAATTTATCGAAACTTGGAATCATCTTGCAACATGGCTTAAAAAACATTGATCCATGAGACCAATTACAACAATTCACTCATGTTACCCTAAAGGCTTTAGTCACTGCCTTCCATTGTAATTGAACTAATTTAAAAACAAATATTAGAGTAAATGTATCCAAAGCTTTAACCTCTTTGACCACGTGGCCTTCGTATCATCTTGAAACATGACCGGTGATCATCTTGAAATATGACTTAACAAGCATTTGAAACCAATTACCCCCAGATCATGCCCAAAGGTCGGAGGATTATTTGGAGAAAGATCAGAGAACAATACAAACGCTTGGTATAAAAAAATAGAAAGGTAGGACAAATTTGGGGTATGACACCATGCTACCTCCAACACTTTCTTCTCACTTCCATCTCTTCTGAAACTCAGGCGAAGAAAGAAACCTTTAGAAATCTCATTGTTTTCCTTCTTCTTCCCTAAGTTCTTTAAACGAAACTTCATTTAACATATTGGAGCTTCCAAATCAATCTCATCCACCTTTCGCTGCTGAGATTAACTTATCTTTGTATGTCAATGATCATACCTATTTTCCTGAACTTCCCGTGGAGGATGGAAGAAGGAAAACATGGTATCGCACTTCCCACATTCCCTACGATCTCGCTAGTTTAGTGCATGCATTCATGGGTCCACTACCCTGGTTTGTAAAGAAACCTCACATGGTGAAGGACTTCTTTCCAAGTTACCTTAATTATGAAACCCTTAGTGTTCGTTGACAAACCATTCAACTTCAATTCTTCAAGAGCAGATTTTTCCTCTATTCTCCTCCAATTGAGGACGCTGTGTATATCAAATGGTTGGATAGGGTTGAAGAGATAAAGAAATATTTATGAAAGGATTTAAGCATTTTTTTACCTGATCCAACTGTCAAGAGTGGGTCCCTCCTACAACTCCCACATGCAAATCTTTGCCATGTGCTTCTGGGACATGTCGAACAACACGTTCCATTTACCTTGTGGGATGATAACTCCCACCTTCTTCGACGTAGTCATGTTCTCAACCTAACTTATCAAAAAAAATTCACCTCCATTATGAGTTTAGACATTAGAAGAGATTCAATTTCAACATCATTGAAAACTTCTTTCTAACTAGAAAACGACATTCTCTAGAGAATCTCCACCTCTCTTTTTGTCCCATTAATTTGAATCACACAATCACCTTATCGCCGACTATTTTTACCTTTCCAATGCTCGTGGTTCTCAAATTGACGAAATTCTATTTTTATGTTAATATATCAGTCGATCTTGCTTAAAACCTTTCATTTGGATAGTGTTTTTTTTCTTCAAAAATTAGGAGAATTTCGACAGACAAACTTCTTTATGGTTGTCACATTTTAGAAGATTTGATTGCTCATGTTTTCAACAAATAAGAGTTTTATGGTTAACACATGAGAGTGTAAAACCTTTATTCAAGTTAATCACAGTTGATATCCAGGATTCTATTGTTTCCTTTACACTAATTTCTAATGTCTGGGTTTTAAAACACAACGTAAGTTACACTTTCTTCCATCCTCATACCTTATAAAAAATGTAACTATGATGTTGCCATTCAATTTTATTATGATATTGTAACTTTGTATTTGTATTGTAGGTGAATATGAGGTATCCTATACTTAAAAGTTTGATGATTTGAGAGTTGATCTTCAACTAGCAAGATATATTTTAAAGAATGCACCACTTTTAGAGGATATGATAATCACCATATTTGATACATCATCAAAATGTAATGCTTTAGAATTAGCGTCTTTTCTAAGGATTTCTCCCAAATGTAAAACTACAATTTTTGGAAAAAAAAAACTTTTTCACTACTTTTTAACCCAGACTTTTTAAGGGCATAAATGTCAATTGAAATTAAAAATTAAAAATTTGTTTTTTATTATGTTACTAGTAAAATATTACTGCCTACAAACAAGTATTGGTATATTATGTGCATTTATCTCTAAAATGTAATAAAAATAAAATTTAAAAAAAAAAGTTAATTAATCAAAAGAGTTTATTATTTTTAAAAGAGATAATAAACTTGTGGCTACAATTTTTTCTATATTTAAAAACATTTTAATTAACAATATTTTTTTCTTTATATAAATATTATTTTTTGTGTTGGAAATATTTATAAAAATATTCAAATCAATAATAAACTTGTTCATATATATAAATTTTAATTTTAATTTTTTTTCCAGATCTAGTCAAATCTATTTTAAAAAATATCAAATCTTTTAAAATCAATTATACATCTTTAAAATTAATTTTGATTTTAAAAAATAGAAATTAAAGATACACTTATCAAATTTTAAATATACATATTTTTTAATCATTCATATATGTTTCTCGTATTTGTACCATTAGCCGGGCCGACCCAAATAAATTATATATATATATATATATATATATATATATATATATATATATATATATATATATATATATATATATATATATATATATATATATATATATATATATATATATATATATATATATATATATATATATATATATATATATATATATATATATATATATATATATATATATATATATATATATATATATATATATATATATATATATATCACTTATTATGGTCACTAAACTACTTGAAAAAAATTTATAACCATATAATTACTACATAAGAATATTAGTATTATAAATTGAAAAAATTGAAAGTGGATACCATTAAAAAATTGAAAAGTCTGTCTATTTTAAATTATAAATGTTGAAAAAAAAGAGAAAAATGAACTAAAACTACCCATATTTTATAGGCGTAGCAGCTAGCAAGGCAAAGGAAAATGGAACTTTTCCAGAAACATCAATCTTCATGTATTGTATTATAGGTATTTTCACAAATATATAGGTTATGTTATTAGTATTTTTGGTACAACTCGATTGTATTTTTCTTCTCTATTTAATTTTTATTGTTTGATACTTTAGGTTCTTTAATTATTAAGAATAAAGATCTCTTTAATTGTGTATTTTTAAATTTTGAATATTTATGATTACTTTGCACATTGATTTTTAATCTCTACAATAGTACTTACTGTAACATTTTCAAGAGGCAATGTTTCATAAGATTGTCTTATCATAATAATGATCGCCAGCGATAATTTAAGGTGAATTGCCATTGTGATGGAAAAATTATCACTATAATTAACTATCTATTATTATCGTATATCTTTAATACATAGGAATTTATCTTTAACTTGTTTCTAATATTGTTGCAACTCTTTCCTCACTCTTCTGCTCTATAGAATGATTATTATTATATGTAGATGTCAAATAATGTGAAGCAAAGAACTTTAAACGTGAAAAAATGAATCTCTTTTTGATTGTGTGCTCTTGATAACATAATGCAACACAATTGCAATAAGAAGAGCATAACATAATGCAACCGGAATAGTAAAAATGGCTAACATGAGAACTTTGCCTTAATGAAGAAAAGAAAACATTAACAGTTAGTTGCAAGCGTGCAACTCTCTCCAAACAGAAGAAACATCAAACTCAATAACAAACATTTAAATTACAACATCAAAATAAGAAGAATCCAAATATGAAAAACATCTTCATCATATCTATGTTGAAGAAGATGTAGTAGCAAGCCTTCCGCGTCCGATACCACCACTATGTTGATGATCACACTCTCTTCTTTTCATCAAACTCTCCTCTTTCAAATTCAATCTCGAACTCCAACAATCCGGTGAATTGCCAGAAGAACAGTTGTTCCAGTGTTGTTGTTGTTGGCCACTATTCAAACTGAAGCTATTACTTCCAGAAGACTCTTGATCCTCACAGAGTGAAAATGAACCACCTCTCTTAACAGTAACATACTTATGCAAACTTGGTTCCATCACATCATCACTTACAACAACTTCAGATTCTTCTACAAATGATGATTCAGGAACAGCATTGTACTCGTTCCTAGAGAAAGTTGAACTTGTTGTGGAGTTGAGATCAGCAACAGCTTCAAGGATAGAACAAGCTTTGTTGAGACAAGCTGGAAGAGACACAGCAGGCTGTGTTATGGTCTTTTGGTGGAAGTTATGAATGTCTTCTAGGAGTAATGAAGTGTAGGATGATGGTGGTGGATTGGTAAGAGTTTCGGGATTGAGGTTGTCTAAGTCTCTTGATCTTCTAGATGATCTGCTTCTTGTAATCCCTGTTGGCATCACCACATTCTTCACAATAGCATTATCAGACATTACCTTGATTTCATCCTCTTGTTGTTCCTTTGTGTGAGTATTCACACCCTTTTCCGATATACCTCGGCTACTTGTCCGGTTTCTGGTATTGTCCCTCACTTCAGCCTTTGGCTTCTGCAGTAGGAATAGCAGAATATCATCTTACAAAGTTGTAGTTTACAACTACATTATAGACTATAGCTAATGCAAGAAAAGTTCATGAAAGCATAAACGAAAAAACATATCAGAAGGTGCCGATATCAGATATTACAAATTGTGACTAATTCACACTGAGACCACAATCACTGTTATAATACCTGCCGCGGCCAATATGGCAAAAGCCTTTACACACAGTTATAGCTAATGCAAGCAAAAAGTTAACAGAAACGGCCACAGTAAAACGATATGCAAACGTGCCGATAAACTTATTCATCATTTTTATGATAAAGAACAAACTGCGATCAATTCACATCAATGTAGCATCCGAAATCGCAAAAGTCTTTAACAAGACGCAACTGTTATTTAAAACCTTGCAGCTGATAAAGAAAAGCAAGTGTAATAAAGTGATTTACCTGAACAGTCTCAGCTTCCATCTCCTTTTTGTGTTTGATCTGAACTTTGCTTCCACCATTATTAGCATTTGATTGCGGATAAGCAAGTGAATTAGGATCAACTTCACTGAGAGGGTTTCTTCTATAAGGTGAAACTTCAGTCTTTCTTGCAGAATTACTACGGCTAAGAGAAGGTTGTTGCTGATTCTGATTCTGATTCGTTCCATTTCCATTTACTCTAGCAGGTGACATAGAACGTGGTGAAACAATATTTCTCTTAACATTAACTCTCTTACCAGAATCTCCCCCACCACCGCCACCACCATTGTTACTTTTATCCATAACCAATGATGAAACAGTAGCAGGAACAGTCACCATTTTCCCAGGCCTAGAACCAGAACCAGAGCCAGTATTGTTACTTCCATTTGCAGCATTTGCATCAGAAGATCTTCTTCCCGGAGATCTACTCACTCTCCTTTCTCTACTGCTTGAACGCTGTTCTCTTTCTCTTTCTCTACTTGGTGTTCTTCTTCTTCCATTAGAAGAACTTTTGGGCGAACTGCGGTGGCGCTGACGGTTGTTGTGTCGTGCAGCACCGTCATATTCCTCGCTGTTATCACTTGGATTTGTTCTTTTCTGTTCATCTTCAGCTGAAATTGCATCATTGTTGTTGTCAGAATGATCAAAATCGAAACTTCTCTTTGACCCAGAATATTTTCTGGTTGAAGAAGAAGCAGCTTTTCCAGAAGAGCTTCTGGAGAGTCTTCCACATTGAATTAGAATCGCATCTACTTCTTCTTTCGTGCAGCTGGAAGTTCTCACAGCAGAAACAACACCAATCTTGTTATTGTTACTGATATTGTTGTTATTGTTGTTGTTGTTCAATGATTCTGTTTCACTAGATGAAACCAACCCATCATTGATTTTGGTTGAGTTTTTCTCTCTTTCATCATGGCTTTTTCTGTGTTTGATGATAAAAATCTCCTTTTTAGGCTGAGATTCTTCTTCATGTTGTATAAGAACTTCTGGGTCTTGTTGTTTCTCTTCTGTTTTGTTGTTTTTGTTCTCTGGTTTCGAAATTGTAGCTGTGACATTGTTATGAGAATTTTGTTGATGAATTGGGGGTGTGGATAGTGATTTGGTGGAAGCAGGGGGTGAAGAAGTAGAAGTTTTGTTCTTTTTGCTCAAACATGCACCCATTGTGTTTGTGAAAATGGTGAAAGAAGAGGTAGAGAGAAAAGAGGGTTAAGGAAACTTGAATTTCATTTGAATTTGAATTTGAATTTGAATACATAAAAACGTTAACTTTCAGATTTATTAATGTGAGAGACAGAGTTTTAAGAAATTCAAATTTTGAGAAAGATTCAATTTTTGAGTTTGAGATCCGTTGGAGGTTTAGGGCCATGTGTGTGTCTGACCAAATTGACCCCACAAAGTCACTACCTAACAACCTTTTATTCTATAAAGTTTTTTAATACTATTTTCAAATAGTACTATGGTATATAATATTGGTATTACTAGTGTTATTATACTGTATGTGGAAAACAATTTGGATCTTAATTTAACGTTTGTGTTTGTCGTTTTTATTGTGGGTGGATTTAAAATTGTGTAACGGCTTTAATTGATTGATTGGGTCAATGAAAAGTGAGCTGAAAAGTTATGAGCATTTTTTGTGGTTTGAAAAGATGAGCAACGGCTATATGTGTTTAGAAGTCTGTGTTTTGTTGGAAGGTTTTCAAGAGAATTTGGCGTTGCTGAGCAAGAATTTTGCACTTACTTGTATGGAAAGAATTTAGTAACTTGCTACATGGATTTTTGGTTAAGGAACAATACATGTCCTTTGTTTGAGTTGGTTTTAAAGAGAAAAAACTCCTTTTAGTCCAAAGATAAAATTATTCCCAATTCCTTTCGATTTTATAATAATTAATTAAAATTTTTAATTTTATGCAGTTTAATTAATATCAGTTTTTATAAAATAATAGAGTTTAAATAAAATATATAACATGATATATTAAAAACTAAAATTATAAAATGAGAATAATCGATTAGGTTTGAAACAAATAAGTTATTAAAAATAAATAAATATATAAACTAATAAATGATATTAAAATCAATCAATATAAAAAATAATAATAAATTAACATAATATATTATATTAATAGATAAAAAATAAGTATTAAAATATATGCATGCAGATCGGTTCATTTGAATTAATTTTGAAAAATCAACCTAAAATTTCATCCAATATGAATGCTTTTTGTAAAAGAGAATCCAAACACATCCAAAACTATTTAGTTTTTGCAGTTTTCAATTTTTTTGGTCAACTTACGATTTTTATTTAGACCAGTTTGAATTTGAATACTCTTACACGAGAGGGATACACAATTTTTGACACACTTTCTCAAATGGTCTTGAAACCAATGGTATAACTAAAGCAGGTCACGTTATTGGGCTTCGTGCACCTAAACTTGCACCTATTACCTACTAGAACGGGTTCGGAGAGAAAGTCAAGAGGATAACCACCTTCTCTGTGATTCAAGGGAAGACATAAGTGGAAACACCTATACCGTGAGTCTAAATAAGATTTTTTTTAATGATGTTTGTCTTCTTAGTAACGATGATAAATCTTGGTTATGGCATAAGAGAGTATCTTATATCCACATGGATCGGTTAAACAAGGTGGTTTGCAAGGACTTAGTTATTTCCTGCCAAACATGCACTTCGAGAAAAGTCAGATGTGTGATGCGTGCCAAAAAAAGAAAACAAGTAATGGTCTCCTTTAAGTCTAAAAATGATGTATCTACAAACCAACCCTTATAAATTTTGCACATGGATCTCTCTGGTCCGTCAAAAACCATATTTTTTAGCGAAAATCTCTATGCCCTTGTAGTTGTGGATGACACTCTCACCATACATGGATATTATTCATATCTAAAAAAAGAGACATGTTTGTTGCCTTTACGATACCTTGCAAGGATGGTCCAGAATGAGAAATGATTAAACATTGCATCCAACCATATTGATCATGATGGATAGTTCCAGAATAAGGAATTCAAAAAGTAGGATGACATTTAACATAATTTTGCACTCCTCGAACTCCCCAACAAAATGGGGGTAGTGAAGAGGAAAAGTAGATCTCTATAAGAGATAACAAGGATGTTGCTCAAGGAGACTAACCTTCCTAAATAATTTTGGATCGATGCGGTGAGCATTGCTTGCTATTTAATAATTCATGTCTTGATAACATTAATTCTAAAGTTGACGTCATATGAGTTTTATTAAGAAAGGAAGTTGAATATCTCTCATTTATGTGTCTTTGGATGTAAATGTTTTGTCCTTATTAACTGGGAAGGATAAACTTGAGAAATTAGACACTAAAGCTGATGAAGACATATTCCTAAGATATTCAACTTATAGCAAGGCTATTAATGTTTTTAACAAAAGAATCATAGCAGTAGAAAAATCAGTTCATGTTACTTTTCCCATTGTTGGTAGAGGCAAATGTTACTTGTGTAGGTATCCTTGATAAAACAATGTTGAAAGATAATGATCAAAACAAAGATCAAGATTAAGGTCAAGAAGAAGATCAATATCCAAATAGAGAAACTCAAGCTAAAGAAAATCAAAGTCTACAAAACAATGGAGGGCCACTAAGGACCATCTAGTTCAGAATGTTATTGAAGACATTTCTAAGGGAGTTACAACTACACATTCTTTTAGCAAGGTAAGTAATCATATGGCTTTTGTTTCTCAAACTTGTGAAGATGGTGCTCATCATCTATCTTATCTTAGTTTTGATAAAAATAAAATTTTATCATAGAAGAAATATCAAAGAAGAAAAAGTTTTTGAATCAAGTATCAAGATTGCATAAGTTTTGGATATTATGGAAATCAAAGGATTGGATCATGAAATAAGGTACAATGGTATTTCGCATGTATATAAGCTTTAGGTGCTCAAAATATTTTCATCTAAATCATTTTATATTTCTCAAACGTTCATACGTAATTGCCATTCAAGACACATCTTTTAAAAGACAAAAATTCAATTTCTTAAAGGGCACAATTAATTGATCAATTGGTGCACTTTATTGCTTGTTTGCCACTGACTTTTAAAATTATAAATATTTGAAGCAGCAGACGATTGATGTAAATGGAGTAATTGATTGAAGGGTCTTTTTTGCCTTGAATTTTGACCATACAATCCATTGATGCAAACCTTACAATCCATTAAGGGGTCTCATTTTGCCTTGAATTTTTAACCCCACGATCGATTTATCCTTCACTACAATCGATTGCATTGTGTAATATTTTCCAAATTTTTGAACGTTGGCTTTAGAATAATTTATTGATCTATATAAGCAGTTGATTGCTTCCTAAGCTTTGTGAAAACTTTTGAACCAGTATGATGCGTTTAAACTCCAATTGTTCATGAAAGTTTTTCCTAACCATTGCATTCAATAAGGATTACTTTCCAAACATTATTAATCATTCAAGAGGCACCTTATGATTTATTTAAAGCGATAATTTTTCAGATTTTAATTAACCTCTTTCAATCACAATTTTCAAACAGTTCATTTGTTTTCAAGTGTTCATACACAATGTCTTAGAAAATTTTTCTGCATAACTTTCACACATCTGAGAAAAGGTTTCTTCAATCAATGAGCATTTAAGGTCTATATATTCTTGAATTGTTTATTAGAAAGAGAAGATTAAATTTCAGAATATTGGAAAGCATTCGAAATTGTCTATACTCAATATATCATTTTAATATAACATTATTCACCAAGTGTGTTGTGACGTAGTTTGTAAAGAAAATATGTGTACTTTCTTATGACTCTTTTACTTTTCTGAACTTTTATTTTTCTACATTATTTTTTTAAGTCCATACAATTTATTCCAAAAAAATTAAAGAATAAGAATGTTTGCAAAATAATGAGAAAAATTCATAAAACCTAATCCACCCCTTCTATCATAGGTTGCACTCTATAGTTACAATTGGCATCATAGCAGGTTAAGGTAACTTGCTCTTCAATCTGATAATTATGGCTTCCTCTAAACTTGTTTTTTGCAGATGGTGACAACAACAAACCCTCATGTTCTGTTGGTGAATATTATGACTTCAGGAAAATTTGTATGCAAATGTATTTAGAAGCACAAGGAGAAGAAATATGGGATGCTATTGAAAATGGTTTGTCCATTCTTACAACGGTCATAAACAATGTATAACAAGTAAAGGTGAAATGTTATTGGACCAATCATGACAAGAAGAAAATGTCATATGATAATAAGGCGGAGAATATACTTGCATCTCCATTAGGTATGGATGAATTCTTTAGTGTATCAAATTGGAAAACAACAAAGGAAATTTGGGATACTTTATAAGTGACACATGAAGACATGATAGAAGTAAAAGGATCCAAACTAAACACTTTATCACAAGAATATGAGGTGTTTAGTATATTGGGGGCAAGCCACCTCAAGAGAACAGGGAAGTCAGCCATTCTAAGAGTCAGTTAGTCAAGAATAAATCTCTTAAGGGCTCGTACTGAGGCAAGCCACCTCAAGAGCACAGGAAGTCAACCACTCCAAGAGTCGGTTAGTCAAGGACAAGTCTCTTCATGGCTCATACTAGGGCAAGCCACCTTAAGAGCACAGGGAAGTCAACCACTCTAAGAGTCAGTTAGTCAGGGATAAATTTCTTCAAAGCTTATTTTTGGGCAAGCGACCTCAAAGCACAGTGAAGCCAACTCTCTAAAGGTTGCTCAATCAGAAGTAAACCACTCCAAAGGTCGGCCAATCGGAGACAAACCATTTTAAGAATTGGTTGCATCAGAGGTAGATCACCTCAAGACCTTATTTACCATGGGAAATTGTAACACCCTAAAACCCCCAAGCGCATTTTATAACATAATCAAAGTATATTTTCCATCAAAGGGTGTCACACATTCTCAACATAAACCTTTTTCATCATTTAACATATTGTAGCAGAATTTAAAACATTTAATAACATCTCTTCATGGTCTTAAAGTAGAAATTTATTTAATCAAAAAAATAATTATTTCAATAATAACTCAACAATAAGCGAAATAAAATAAATAATAAACTCATCTCAGTGTTACACCATCAAAGCGACACCAAGTACTGGGTAAAATCTGAAAAGTGATATAAAAAAAACAAAGGCATGAGCCATCTTCCACATG